GGATTTGAATGCCGACCGGGAAGCCTTGCTTGATTGGCGGAGGCCCTCATGCTTGAAGAACCGCTGGAAGGCCTTGGACCTCCCCTTCTAAGGCCGGTGCCTTTCCCCCCGGCCTTGCGGTTGCGGCAGAATTGCACTCTCTCCCTTCTTCCCTTCAGGGGAGGGGTCCGGCGGGGCTGCCCGTCCGCCCGCTTGCGCAAATTTGTGGGAGGTGTACAGGCGGATGCGCGCGGGAGACCGGAGACACGTGCGATTGGCGCCGCCGCGCGAGGGCGGCGGGCGCGGCCGGTGCCCCGGCGGCGGGCGCGGCGGGCGCGGCGGGCGCGGCGGGCGCGGCGCCATGCGGGTTCGGGGCACCGCTGGTGGCGACGGCGCTGCAGCGCCTCGGCGCTCTGAGCGGCGCAGTCGACCCGGCGTCCGCAGCGCCACGCGGGCGAGCAGTCCTCGAGGTTCCGTCCCACAAGCTCTGCGCCTCTGCCCCGAATGTAGGCGACTCTCACCCCTGCCGACCTGAAGCGGTTGCCGCTCTTTGAGCGGCCAATCACGCTGCGGAGCTGACGTCGTCCGACCCCGTCCGCGACAATTCGACACACCCTCGCTCAGCGCTGTTCATCACACTTCACAGATCTCTCGAGCGCATATACATCGAGTCATCGACGTTAGCTGCGCAGCAAAAAGAGCAAACGAAAGAATCCTATAAAGCCGCGTAGCGCGAGGCGTACCGGCATGCATGCCACGGTCAGTGGAGTGTGTAGCGAGGAGAGACACTCCAGCCGCTGCCAAAGCCGAGCGCCGTAACACGGGGCTCGGCTCGGCCTCGGGGGTGGGTGACCCCCGTTATAAACATATATGGACAAAGTATGCCGCTGAGCAGCACGCCCACACCCCGCGTCACCGGGTCACCGCGCGCGATCTGAGTGTCCCGTCGATAGTGCACACAGCGAGAAAATCCTCCACAGGGTCGATTCCACTCGAACACTTGACAGATCACGCATCGCAACGCTCGTTTGTCGACCGCCGCGGCAGAACTGGAAGCTGTGTGCGGAGGCACACGCGACATTGGGCCGCTAGGCCTTCGATCCGCCCAGGCACGGAGGGGAGGGCGGCACTGCGCCACTCGCCTTCGCCCACTGCGCCGGTGTCTTGGCCACGATGGTGAGAGCGTGCACCGGCCCCTTTAGCTCGTCCGCCAGCGCCTCATTGACCAGGCGGTGTCGCTCGAGCAGCGGCACCGACGCAAAGGCGTGCGCGACTAGCACGAAAAGTGCTGTTCGGGTGCGAAGCTCGCCATCCTGAAAGACGAGACGCCTCACGCGCTGCCCGGGCTCTCGCCGCTCCCCGTCGCGATGCAGGACAGTTCTATCGGCTTCAAGGTTGGCAGGACGCTGAAGCCCGTCGTCGCGATCCCCCTGCCGCTTCAAGGCGGTGCCACCCCCGACAGCACGAACTCCGGCACATCCTCGTTGCTCTCCGCCTCGCCGCCTCTCGGGCAGCCACTGCCGCCTGCACTGCCGCCTCTCGGGCAGCCACTGCCGCCTCTCGGGCAGCCACTGCCGCCTCTCGGGCAGCCACTGCCGCCCTCCGAGCCTGCCGCCGCGTTTGCCGCCGCGCGGGAGGAGACAACTGCAGCCCCCGCGTGGGCGGGGCAGCGCGGCGATGCGAGCCTCTTCTCTGAGCCTACTCCCGTGATGCTTGCTGCCACCACGCCGAGTGATGTTCGACCGATGAGTGGCTCTCTCCCGGCCGAGGAGGACATGGCTCGACGTGTGATGCTCGACGCGTGCCGCGGTACACGCTCTTCGGCTAGACGTTCCCCGCCTGGTTCGACCCGCGGATCGCCATCGGCGTCTACCCGATTCTCTCGCTCATGATCCTGACGGTGCCCGACGCGCTCGCGCCGATGATCTACACGCTCTCTGTCGAGGAGTTTTGGGACAAGGCGTGCACGAAGAAGGTGATGCGAGAAGCGAGATGTGGAAATTACCGATCTCGTCTCCGAAACTGACTCAAATCGGCTCTACCGCCGCAACCGAAAAACGAATGAAAAACCATCTGCCGCCGGTAAAAAAAAACCGTAGGAAGAACTCGCGCCGCGCCGCACCGCTAGTGCGCTCCGAAGGCACACGCGACGCGTCTCCCCGTCGCGCCCCGCTTCGCGTACTCCTCGCGGCCGGCCGCGCCCTCCGCTTTTTCCGCGCCCACCGCCTTCTCCGCGCGGCCCGAGCGCCCACCCCCTTCTTCTCCCGCCTTCCACACCCCGTCGCCGCAGTAGACTCGCTCTCTCTCCGTGCGCCCATTCAGCAAGCAATAACCACCTCGGCCGTCCCCACACACGCAGGCTTCCCGACGACGACCGCATCAACTGAAGTGCGGCATGCCCCGCCCTCCCTCGCGCCCACACCTGAGCGCTGCTGGTGGGAGGAGGAGCGAACGCTCCCTTTCTGCGCCCCCGTGATGATGGTGTGATTGTGCGAGAGAGGGTGGGGGGGAAGGGGGGGCGGCGGCGAGCACGGCGGCGGCAGCGGGCGCGCCCGAAGGGTTGAGCTTCGCATGAAGCCAACTCCTGTTGACACGCGTCGGGCGCGTTACTTCGGTCGCAGGCATGCCACGGGTGGAGACGGAGGAGGCTATCGCCATCCTGAAGCAGCAGGTTTCCGAGGGCCGCGTGCTCGAGAAGGTCCACGGGGCGGTGCCGATCGAGGTCAAGATCCAGTCGGGCAAGATCGTCAAGTTGGGCGTCTACAAGGCCAACCCCAACCGCCCGCCGATGTTTCCGGAGTGCCCGTCAGTTCTGGTCCGGAGCATTAGCGGTGCGGGGCGGGTCACCGGCGTCTCCAAAGCGGAGGCGCGACGGCGGCGCAGCGTCAAGGGCAAGGCGCTCGTGCGGTCGCAAAAGAAGAACGTCAAGGCTGGACGCGCGAAGAGCTTCCAAAAGCGGGACGGAAGCCGCGGCGGCACCGGCGGCAACACCCACGGCGGCGTCAAGCAGACGACCAAGGACTCGCCGCTCATCAAGGGTGTGATCGCGGCCGGCCAGGCGCTCGTCAACGGCGCGCCTGCCCGGCGGCGATGACAGTGTTGAGGAGCGGAGAGTCCTTGCTCATGTACATGACGCCCGGGTTTT